TTGAACCATCTTTGAAATAAAAGTTTAATTGAGGGTTTAGAACCCCAATTTCAAACCCTAGACTAAATTTTTTAATTTCTTGATGAAATTATAATATAAAAACATTACCTGCACACAATAGTTTAGGAATCTTTATTTCAAGTCGGAATCTGGTTTTCACACTGCAAATCTGCAATGAAACCCAAATAGTAGGAGATAAATCAGTAAGCAAAAATCAAAGAGGAAGAAAACTCACCAGAAAGAGGGAAGGAAAAAGCAAAAGAAAGATGGAGTGAGAATTGAAAATCTGAGTAGCTTTCTTAGATGCCAAAGAAGAATGAAAGAAAGGACAAAAGCTAAACACACGTGGTGTTTCAAGTTGTAAAAATATCACTGTCTAGCCAATTTTCGGATTGGTAATTGAAAAATAGCTAGCATTTGCAAAGACATTGAAAAATAGCCACTATTTTGCTGTAACACGGAAATTTACAGCATAATATACTGGAGATTGGTGCACCTGTATATGAACTTCCAACATATTGTGCTGAAACTCCAACATGCGGAAAGTTCCAGCATAATATACTGGAGACTGGAACACCTGTGTATGAACTTCCATCATATTATGCTGGACCGATATACTATACTAAAACTCCAATATATTATGCTGGAAGTCCAGTATATTATACTGGAATATTTTCTCTATTTTGAACAGTGTTTTCGTTCAAATTTATCTTTACATAAAAAATGGCTAAATTTCGATTACTTTTAAAACTGTGGCTATTTTTCAATGACCACTTATAAATCTGGCTATTTTTGATTTCTCCCTTTCAAGTTAGACACCTGGAAGTCTATAAGTCAGTTCTTTTACCATAATACCCCATAAAGCAAGTGACACTTTAGGGGAATACCCTTCGTCGTACCAAGGACCTTTGCTTATTATATAGTTAAAAGATTGGAGCACTTGTGTATGAACTTTCATCATATTATGCTGGACCGATATATTATACTGAAACTCCAGTATATTATGCTGGAAGTCCAGTATATTATACTGGAATATTTTCCGGATTTTGAACAGTATTTTCGTTCACATTTATCTTTACATGAAAAGTGGCTAAATTTCGATTACTTTTGAAACTGTGGCTATTTTTCAATGACCACTTGTAAATCTGGCTATTTTTGAATTTCTCCCTTTCAAGTTAGACACCTGGAAGTCTATAAGTCAGTTCTTTTACCATAATACCCCATAAAGCAAGTGATATTTTACGGGAATACCCTTCGCCGTACCAATGACCTTTGCTTATTATATAATTAAAAGATTGGAGCACTTGTGTATGAACTTCCATCATATTATGCTGGACCGATATATTATACTGAAATTCTAGTATATTATGCTGGAAGTCCAGTATATTATACTGGAATATTTTACGGGTTTTGAATAGTGTTTTCGTTCTGATTTATCTTTACATGAAAAGTGGCTAAATTTCGATTACTTTTGAAATTGTGGCTATTTTTCAATGGCCACTTGTAAATCTGGCTATTTTTGAATTTCTTCCTTTCAAGTAGACACCTGGAAGTCTATAAGTCAGTTCTTTTACCATAATAGCCCATAAAACAAGTGGCATTTTACGGGAATACCTTTCGTCGTACCAAGGACCTTTGCTTATTATATATTTAGATATAGAATATTATACTCCAAACTTATGCTTAAGTGGGGCCTTGATGTTAAAAAAGTTATCTTTTAGGACTAATTTACTTTTTAGTTGTAGGATAGGTAATTTTTATGTTAAATAACGATAAAATGCATCACTCATCACTACTGTTTGAATACATATACTTGTTATGTCAGCTGGGTACCACGCACATCATGCATACATACAGGGAGCAGAACAGCGTTGTTGATAGCTTAGCAAAATATGGAGCATCTATGGATTTAGGAGCAAATATACATCTACTATTGGAGCCGCCAACCTTTTTGCAACAAGAATTGACTGCAGACCAACAAGGCACTGTCTACTTAAGGAAAACCTCTACTTCGGCCCAATATGCTCCTCTTACTTTTTGTTTAGTTGAACCATCTACTGAATGTGCTATTGTGGAACATGATAGACATTAGCATAACAACTTCCCTACATGCTCTTTTTGTAATCCTTGGAATAATTCTGTCAATGCTCCTTGCAATGTAACCTGTTTTTAATATAAAGTCATTTCGTCGGTTGACCAAAAAGAAAAAAACAGCCTCAAAGGCTCTACCACTTGAGTATAACCATTAACTTATGAATGTAGGACCACCATTCTAAATACAGTAAAGCGGGACATCTTATAAAATTGAAATGATACAAGAGAAGATAAGTATGGCATGCTTAAGGATGATATGCGCAAATTGAGAAATAATTCTAAATTGCTCCATTTAAGTAATATAAGCAGAGCGGATCCAGCATTTAAACTCTATGGGTTCAGCTTTAAAAAAAATTAACATTGAACCCATTATATTTTTAAAATTATGGGTTCACATATATATTTTTGCAATTTTAATAAATTTTTATACATAAATTTTATCCCGAATCGAAAGTTATGGATTCAATTGAACCCGTAACTACCACACTGCATCCGCCCTGAATATAAGGTAACTGAAATAAAATCATCAATTCTCCTCCAAATTTTTATTTGATTATTTTCTAAGAATGTTGAGTTAGGTATGTTGAATGTATATAATTAAATTTCAATTGCAAAAACCAAGTGACATGGAAAGACTATCATATTGCAGTAAGAAAGCTACTACTAAAGATACAATTTCTAAGTAAAATAAAAGATTGAAAGATTGAGTAAAAAATGCATAGGTACACATTCAACAGTTAATGATGGAAGCATAATCTGATTGCAAGAGAATAGAGTTGGTTTAATCACATTAAGATTACATGAATCAAAAGTGATACTAGTTTATCTAGTCAACGGCGAAGCTAGAAATTTCTACAAAGGTGTTTAAATTGAATTTAAAAGAAGTGAAAAAAAATTTCCGACAAAGGGTATTCAGTATGCACCTCTAAAACTTAGTATTTTATCTATATATACAATTTAATTTTTCAACAAAGGAACCACCTTTCAGATAACGTAACTTCGTCCCTGCAATCCTGGTCTAATGTAAGTTTAACTTGTACATTAAACAAATAGCGGTAAAAAAAATATTAAAAGATTTATTTGAAAGAGCAAAAAAATGAATAGAGCGTATAACCAGAGGCGGAACCACAATTTAAAATTTATGGGTTCTAAATTAATAAATTATACATATTCCATAAATTTCTTAAAATAAAGTATATAATTTGGACAAAAGCTACTAAATTCAGCTGTAAGTTGTGTTCTAGCCTCTGTTTTAAAAAGCAGAATAGGGACTCGCACAGGGCTCGCCCCAGGGCGGAGCACTCATAAAACGCCCCTGGGCTTATGTGCGGGGCTTAGTTCCGTGAGGCTTACGCCTCGGCCGTCGGGGCTTACGCCCCGGACACGCCCAACGTCCAGCGTACTGGGCTCGCCTAATATAACTTTATGCAATTGAGTGTAACTAACATTATAAATGGATAAATTTTCTTAATAAATCGTTGACTATTCAAAATTATTTTTTTCTTAATCATAAATCGTTAAGTTGAGAGTATTTTATGTCATAATTAAAATAAAAATTATTGCACGTTATTCACTAAGACTGCTATGATAGTAAATTTTAAATAAATCTTTCATTTAAAAAATAATTATTTATTAACTTTTATTATGTCTTTATTATATAATAGTCCATAATTGTTTTATAATTATTTTCCTAAATCTTTTTTTTCATGTTTACGTTATACAATACTTATTAATTTAATAACTTAGTAGTAGCTATTAACTATTTATAAATAATTAGTTATCACAGTACTGTATGGTGAATTATGTGTCTCTTTATTAACTTGTAGAAACTTAAAACTAAATGATGCTAGAGAATCATATTTAAATTGTGAATAATATTTTTATATAAATTCTCTTTCAAATAGAAAGCATATTAAATAAAATGAGTATTTTATAAAAAAAATATCAAATTATAATATCGAAATTCTTTCGAGATTCATTACTCCTTGAGAAATACGTAGAAAATTTCGTATCGAATACATTACTTCTGATGTTTGAGTTGTAACGACGTTGCAGCTAATCTGCATATTATGGTATATGTCATATTCGTATTATTTATGGTTGAATTATAATTTATAAATATTTTAAATGGATTATTTATTATAATTTTGTGATTTTAATCTATTTTTTATAATTATTTTTTATTTTATACTGTCTTAACATTCTTGAACTTAGTAAAATTTAAAGATCTGTGGGACTTACGCCCCATGTCTTAGGGCTTACGCCTCGCCTCGTCAGAGGTAAAACGCCTCGCCTCACGCCCCCGCCTTTTAAGTTAAAATATCATGGTATAGCCAGTTTTCACACTGGTCAATGAAAAATAGCCAGCGTTTATCAAGTCAATAAAAAATAGCCACTATTTTGCTGCAACAGGGACCGGTCCAGTATAATATACGGGAGTTCTGGTGCATTCGTGTACGAACTCCAGCATATTATGCTGGACCGGTATACTTTGCTAACTCCTGTAAAATTTGCGGGAGACTGGAGCACCAGTGCTCCAAACTCCAGTATATTATACTGGACAATTATACTTGCTGGAACTCCCGTAAAATTTGCGGGAGTTCCAGCATAGTTATCCTGGAACTCTAGTAAAATTTATGGGAGTTCAAGCATACTTATGCTGGAACTCCCGTAAAATTTGCGGGCGTATTTCTCCGGATTTTTGAACAGTATTTTCGCTCAGATTTAAAGTGGCTAAATTTCGATGACTTTTGAAACTTGGCTATTTTTCAACGACCAATGCTAAATCTGGCTATTTTTGAATTTCTCCCGCCTTTTAAAACATTGGTTCTAGCTCCGTCCCAGTGTAATACGCCCGGAACAAAGTAAATATAAAATAATATACTCTCTAGTCGATCTTTCCCTTTTTTTCTCGCTAATCGCTATTTCTCTTCTTTTTCTTCTCTCTCTTAATTAGTTGGAAATCGCGCCTGTTTTTGAAGAGTTATCATATGAACGGCAAACCAAATTCCCATAAATACCCACACCAATTACACTCAAGAGAGGAGAGAGGGGTAATTTTGGTAAATTCAAAAACGGATAGTGGGACAGTGAGGAACTGAATATTGAGGAAGTGCGAAGTGGGAGAGGTATAACAAAATAGTAGAGTAAAAAATATAATCAGAAGAATGAGGGTTAAATGGTAGCAGAGTCAGAGAGAATCGTTGTATAGGCGATGGCCGGAGACGGATTGACGGCGGCGGCGGATAATCCCGGCGGAGCAGCGGTGGAACCGCAGTACGCGGCGGCAAAGACGTCGGTATGGTGGGATATAGAGAACTGTCAGGTGCCAAGGGGATGCGACCCTTACACAATCGCTCAGAATATAAGCGCGGCATTGATGAAGATGAACTATCACGGACCGGTCACCATCTCTGCCTATGGAGACACCAATCGTATCCCCTGGCCCGTTCAAAATGCTCTCTCTAGTACTGGAATCGCTCTCAATCACGTCCCGGCCGGTAAACTGACAAACCCTCGCTTCATCTTGCTACATGTATCTAAATAGATATAATAAATAAATAGATAAATGTATGTCTATCTAAAAGACGAAATGGTTTACACCTTATTTGATAGGATATGTTGCAAATATAAATAATAAGTAAAAAATGCAACAACTAAGCCTCAATCCAAAGCTAGTTGAGATTGGCTATATGATTCCTCACCGTCCATTTTGCTACATTTGTCATTTCATCCAAATAAATAAATAATAAAGGTGTCATTCTCTCACAGCTTAAGATTTTAGATGAAGTGGTTACATCATCATTTTAGATGTTATTGTGCTAATTGATGAAGCGAGCCTGATGTCAACCAAAAATGTTGAACAATGGAGAAGCACGGTAGAGAGTAAGGCTTATAGAATAAGTAGAAGTAAGACTGGATATATGAACATTAAGTTTAGCTAGTATACGAAGAATGTAGTTGAGGTGAGATTAGACGGGGTTGCGGTACTTAAATATAAACAGTTCAGATATCTAGGCTCGATGCTCTAGGAGAATGATATAATAGATGGAGATGTTACACATAGAACTAAAGTAGGATGGTTAAATGAATAAGTGCTACCAAAGTGTTATCGGAGTGAATGTTGCACAACCTGTAATTATGCCTAGGCTCTATGCTCTAGGAGAATGATATAAAAGATGCAGATGTTACACATAGAACTAAAGTAGGATGGTTAAAATGGATAAGTGCTACCAAAGTGTTATCGGAGTGAAGTTACACAACATGTAATTATGCCTGATGCACTGGCTTAGTGCATAAATTTATAATATCTTTAGTTACTTATCAAAAAACAGAAGAAGATGGATCTCACAGAGATACAGATGCTAAGATGGATGTACTATCAAACAAGTAGCATACATTGAAAATAAAATGAGAGCAAGTCATTTGAAATGGTCTAATCATGTCCTACATAGACTTCAGATGCACCGGTCCATAGGTGAAAAACCTAGCGAGTGAACGTTTTAAAAGAGGACGAGGTAGACTTAAAATCATTTGGGAGGAAGTTGTATCGAAAGACCTATAGTCTTTTGGAATCCATGCAGGCTTAGTGAAAAATAAGTTAAATGGAAGAAAAAGATCTTCATAGGCTATACCAATTAATGGTATCAAGTTTTAGTCGTGTTAGTTTGTTTCCTTTCGGTCCAATATTTTTAGGAGTTTGTTAGCCCTTCCAGAGATTTAACTTTATATATATATTATATTGGAATGAGTTTAGATGTAGTATATGGAAAATAAGGATTTGTACAGCTGGCCCTAACAACGACTTGCTTGGGATTAGTTGGTAGTTTTTGTTGGTTTCATCCTTCTAACATTTTAGTGTTTTCAAGCTAAGTGTAAATGCGTATTACCAATTGAATTTTGCCTTCTCAGAAAAAAAAAGTTTGAATTTTGTTTCATGTCACAGGGGTTAAGGATGCAAGTGACAAGAAAATTTTGGTGGATATGCTATTTTGGGCAGTGGACAATCCTGCACCTGCGAATTATCTGCTCATTTCGGGAGATAGGGATTTCTCCAATGCCATTCATCAGTTACGCATGAGGAGATATAATATTCTTTTAGCACAACCTTTACAAGCTTCTGCTGTTCTTGCTGCTGCTGCCAAGAATGTGTGGCAGTGGACAAGCCTTGCTGCTGGAGGATCTCCAAGAGAACTTGCTCATGGGATTAAGACATTACGCCAAGAATCAACATCGACTCCAATTACTAAACCTATATCTGTGAACCAACCTGCTTATTCCGAAGCCAATGCCAATACTAATGCTTCTGGGCCCCAAAGGTTATCTAATCCTGGACGCACTGCTGATTCTAAAACTAAAGCTATATACGTACCTAAGAACTCGAATCAACTGAATATGACCGGCATGTCAAGTATGCCAGCTAGAATTGAAGAAACTAGTAGCAGCCATTGCCCACAAGAACCAGATGTTGCACCAAAGCAGTTTGCACCACATCAGTTTTTCGCAAAGCCTGATAGTTCAGAGAACCAAAGCAGTAAATTCATAGAAAATAAGCATGCTCAGCGTACTCAATATCAACCTCTTTTAGTTGTGAAATCGAACTCTTGCCAGAACAATTTGCAGCCTGCACCTCCACGACCTGAAGGTTCTCCAGTTTTTTCTACACCATTTGTATGTCATCCTGATGCTATTAGGGATAATTTATCTGATAGCCCCATAAAATTGTATTATGTTCCTAATTTTAAATTGACAAAATAGGGAAGTATTCTGACCGAATCTTAATTTTATTAGGCCAGACAGTTTTCTTGAGGGGGCTAATGGTGGTAATTTGCTTGCAGGTGGGGGTGATATCGACGGTTCTCTTAACAAGGGTCCTCCACGTCCTGAGTTTTCCTTCCCTTCATCCTCATTGGGGGTTTCTAAATCTGTCTGTGGTAATTCTGATTTGGGTCTCCAGCTTCCTGAACACATTCAAGGTCTTATAGGGGTCATCTTGCTTGCCTTGAATACTTTGAAGCTTGAGAAGATTGTGCCAACAGAAGAAAACATTACTTATTGTGTACGTTATGGTAACTCAAAAGATCATCATACTGATGTTACAGCAGCCTTAAATTCTGCACTAGAGCAACAGATGATATTAAAGATAAAAGTAGGAAATATGGAGCTATATGTTGGTAGGACTGAGAGGATCTGGAATTGCGTTAATCCGCTTGGTGGAAATCTTAACCAGTATCAAGATGCAACTTGGAATGCGATTGAGAAATTTCTCTGTTCAGCTGCTGGACGTTCAGCAATAGCAGCATCTGAATGCAGGTAAACAACTTCTGCTGCATGTTTGTTAGTAATTTCCAGAGTTTTTTCTGATGTCCGTTTGCCATCAGGTATGAAGCAGCTCTGATTCTTAAAAACTCATGCTTAAAAGACCTTACATTGGGTGAAGTAATTCAAATCCTGGATATGATTATCACGCTGAAGCGTTGGATTAAAACTTCGCACTCTGGTTGGCAACCAGTTGTTATCACTCTCCCAGAAACTAATAATAATAGCGGTACCAGAATAGAGACCTAGTTGAGAGAGCTCTTCAATATTTTAACATGTCCTAGTTAGAAATGGATCGAATATCTTGGATTTATGGATTTTAAAAGGCTCAATTTCATTGGAGATGGTATGTTCAGCGCACCAATAACACTGGCACAAGAGCAACATCTTTTTTCCTTTTGTGGAATGCTTTTCCACATGCCATTGCAGCTGATATAGTGGGCAGCTTTCTTCACCATGATCAACCTTATGTTAAACGGATGGAATTGTTTCGTGCTTCTATCCACTTAACTATGCTGATGGATCTCATAATCTTCCATTCCAGCTTTGTGGTTGCCATCAATCCGAAATTTCTTTATCTTAAAATTTCCTTCTCTCTCGAAATTTTGTTTCCATTAAAGAATCTACTATTGCTTTCACCTTACTAGAATTTGGAGCATCGAAGAATGTAGCATGGTTACTGGATGAGTAGAAAATTGGCTAAAAGCACAAATGTTTGGATGGCAGGTTGACAGGATTATTTTGTAATCTCTGCTGTTGTTCTAGCTAGTATATACATCTAGAAGAGTCTGTTTAGAATGCAGATCCAGTTACCTTGGTTTTCGGAGCTTATGTCCACAAAGTACTCTGTCACATGGAGTATGTAGATTTACTTGGGTGGCATTTTCATATGTTTTCGTACCCTCATCCTTTCCCCTCTTCTTTTTGTTTATTGGAGGTTATGACTGCAAAGTACTTTGTCAAATATTGTATCTATACTTTTACTTGGCAGGCACTTGCATTTGTTTTCATTTCATACTTCTCCCTCCTATATTTCTCTCATTTGATTGATATTATACTTGTTACTGCATAGTTTGTTGGGGATCATATCTGTTGTATGGTATTTGTTTTCAGCATTTACTACTTTGTTAAAATATTTCTGCAAGTTTCTGACAGGTTTTGATGTTGTCCGCATGTGCGTGGTGCATATGGTGAGGTAAAATTCAACGTTCAATTTGCTTATTTCACACTGGGCGAAGTAACTTGTCTTTTCAGGGTTTCGTTTTGCTACAATCCTCGACCAATAATCGATATTAATTAGTCTCGAGATGCCAACTTTCTCTACCTCGTTTTCACTCTAATAGTAACTAATGCTAAAAGCAAATTACCATTAGAATAATTTGCCACAGATATTATGCCTATAAACATTGGGAAATGGCTCTCAAACACAAAATGTTTGTCATCCAACCTTTCAACATCAGGTATGTTGAAGGAGAAAATTACCGTAACAGAACCTGTCAAACGTAGGTAATTCACACATCACGTGTTGGGTTATTACCACCGGACCAAAGCCCGGGGGCATCAAAACTTAACCCATATAGCTTATCATGCATTCCCAATATAGTTGTGTTAAACTTCTTTAAAGACTGAACTATTTCGTAAAATACTATTGACCTCTGTGGATAAATGTAACCCCAAATACCCTGACAGTTATCTCACATGCCAAAAGAAAATTTACAATTTACCATGAAAACACTTCTACTTCTAGTTTCCCTTAAGCCAACCAGGAGTCCTCCTTGATCAAGTACAAATGAATTGGTCTTTCTTGTGTACAAAGGACAAGGATAAAGCCTATATCAACAACATCGCGGCCAGCAAGAGAAACAAGAAAACCAAGTGGTCGCTGCCAATTTAGGCTGTGACTCTGGTTGTTTTGACTGTGGTTGTGACTGTGGCCGTGATCGTGGTGGTGATTGTGGCTGCACTTCTGGTTGTGAATCTGGTTGAGGTTGAGGTTGAGGTTGAGGTTGAGGTCTATCCATTTTAGCAGAAGGTGCTTTGAGTGAGCCAGTTTTCCCAGCATCATTAAGTAGTCTGCAATGAACCAGAAGTAATTATAAACAGATCAAATGTATTATTTCATGCAAGGAACAATGGCAGAGCGCACTTCACCCAAAATTGAAAATAAAAAAACTAGCAAGATCATCTTGAATGTGAAACTTCAGCAGAACGAGAAGTGAGCACACTATTTCTCAGAGAGAGAGTAGACAACAGAAGAACAAAACAAGTAGAGGTTATACTCGACCACTCATTTAGCAAAATGATAACATGATTAAGTTCAAATCCAAATAGGATAGAAGGTAAAATCCACCAGAGAAGTTCTTGCTGTTTTATCCTTTTTCTCAATAAAGTCATCAGTTGCTAGAGATACTTTCACTTCTATACATGTTTCTTAAAGTTCAGAACGCATAGAAAGAAAGAAGTATCTGTCAAAGTAAAACGCCTTAAAATGTCACAGAGACGATTTTTCTTTTAAGCAAAATTATATGACTGAACATAGACCAAAAAGTACTAGATACATACTAAACTTTCTACAAGTGTGTAATGCTTATTTACAGAAAGCTAGCATGTGTGAACTAAGCACCAAAAGATCTAAGATCATGAAGCAAGTAAACAATGGCCCATGAAACAGAAAACTTGTCGATATTTGTGTTTGGAATCAAAACATACAAAATTGATATGTAGGATACTTTTAGATGCAATCGTCTAACAAGATACCTCCACACAAAAAGAAGCAGAAAAGAAAACAATAGTGCATTGCATTCCCTCAAACTTAATGGAGAGGAAAAAGTATGTATTCTTGAGAATATTTTAGCGACATATGGAAGTCATGAAAAGGAGATCTTACACTGGAAAAGCAAAGGAACTGCTGCTGTTTCCGCTCTCATTGGAGAGGCGGGGTGAGGAAGCATGACTTGCCTCGGTCGGGGGAACAACTTTACCATCTGACTTGTGGGGCGCTGAGGCAGTATGCTGAACTTCATCGACATTAGATGTCTTTTCTTTGATGTTATTTTCATGATTTTCCACAGAGACTATTTTGGGGGATTCGGCAATCTTTTCTTGCATAGCGGGACCCTCCACCACACTTGCACTCTTTACCTCTTTATCCGTCGCCACTTCTACAAGAGGCAGGGGAAGATTTGGAGGGAGGCTCTTCTTTTCATTGGATTTAACTTCAGGTTGTGCATTATATGGATTGGCCGGAGAATTACTCCATTCTTCAGGCTTAGTTAGTTCGCCAGATCTATACATCATGTTGAACTGATCTCTAGAGAAGCTGTTATTTCCCATATGAATGCTAAACAATGACTCATTTGAAGCAGTACTCCATTCCATAGGATTATTAGGCTTGCTTGAGAAGACAGACGATGGAATACGATTGGGGTCATAACCCGGAGGATGACCCATAGTATGTATTGGAGGAGACTTCATCGGCGAAGGGTTAGCTCCATTCCATTCATCAGGAAATGGTGGAGCCTCCATTTCACCACGTGGAGATGCACTTATCATGCTCCACTGAGGTGTCTGATTAGGAACATCAGGAGAAGACGAAGATTCTGGACTAGGTGATAAAGAAGAATCTTTTTCAGACTTTGTATATAAATCTCCGAGAGGGTCCTTTCGACTAGTACTTAGTTCAAATGAATCCTCAGATGAAGAAGGCGATGACGGAGAAGATGAGGAAGGATATAAACCAGTTGTTTTCACTTCCATAAGTGGTTTTCTATCCTCATGTTTAGTCTCAGGGTGTTGCATTAAAGGCTTATTACCATTACTCCAACTCTCCATTTCTTATTTTTCTTGTCCAACCAATAGAACTTTTCAGCGCTTAATGTAGTTCGAGTAATAGTTCTCCTGTACAACATGAACAAATTCAACAAAATGCATACTGGATCATACTTTTTGAAACAGAATTGCCGAATATTAATACAAAATTTGACAGATTATGAAGTTTAGCACAAATACTTGTTCAGCAAAAAACATTGAAAGGTAAGTAGGGAGTAAAACATAGCTTTGGTGATAAGAAACCACTGTAACTTAATGCCTATGCTTATAAAGTTTGTCTATAATTTATTTGTTCCAGTTTTATAATCTTCTTTCAGAGAACTAAATACATTTTAATTACCAGATTTGTTTCACTTAATAAACTGGGAATAAAAGGGTCATTTTGACATTCTTGGAAATTGGAAATTGGAAACACCTGAAATGAGAAAAAGCTTACACATTTTTATCTCTAAAATTCTTGGATGAGATAGCAACACAATTAATTTCCTGACCTGGAATCTGCTAAACAGAATGAACATCATAAATCCTTTTTGACTGGATTTTAATCAACATAAAGCATCATATCATGAGAAATTTAAACAATATCCTGACTAATTCTTGTTAATCAACAGCACCTCTTCAGGAAATATCATTCAATTCAATTTCACCTATTTGGACTTGTTTTATTCCAACGCTCAATCATATACACGATTCAAATTTAATTTCACCTAGCCAAAAAAATAAAAGAAATCATTCAGTTTCATTTTACAGGCTCTAATTTTTTTACAGAAATTCGTGTTTTTTTTTTTAATGAGCTTTAATGCTAAGAAAAAGGAGCCAAAAGCAATTGAATTTACCTATAATCCCACCAATCCTCAAAATCAAATCTTGAGTATTAGCTATATCCTCTTTGCTAATGATAATCCAAAGATTAAAAAAAAAAAGAAGATACAGCTACTTACCCCTCAATATTTGTGAGGTAAGAGATTGAAAAATCCAATGAATTCGAATTTGAATAAAAGATGAAATTCTATAATTTTCCTAAGAGGATAAATTTCAATAGGAAATACAAAGGATTTAGGGCTCAGAAAAAAAGTAATAGAAACCAAAGGGAAAAAAAGAATAAAAGGATCAGTTTAAGGGTTTTATTTTAGGGAAATTTATTGCTTCGAAAAAGGAAGGCCAAGCAGCCATTTCGGTGATGTTTGATCTGTTTTTCCGTATAACTGTATAACCAACCATTGGCGCCAATTCTATATACTCGAAGAATATACTCAATATTCGGGTCGGGTACGAATGTTTGGGCCAGTTGGTGCCTATCCGGCCCAAGTTTTCCAAGTGGAAATGACACCAGGTAGCCACTTTAAGCATATTGTTTAAAATATATCTATAGTTTACAATGTATTTAAAAACTAGCCAGTTGGCTCAAGCTTCAGGACATCGTGTCCTAAAGTTCGAATATTTTATCCAAAAATTAGAATTTTATGTCCTGAATTTTAAATTAGCAGTTCAGAAATTCATGACACTTAGTCCCGAATTTCAAATAAATAGCTCAAAAATTAGTACTAATAAGTTGATCCGCTTTTATTCTCATCACTTTATTAGTACTTTGCTCGGATACTTGATCATTGGATCAATTGGAAATTCAATTATATTCGATTATCCTATGATATATTTTTTTATCACTTTATTTAACCTAGAACATGCATCATTCTTGATTTAACTGGCAAGACGCTTGGGTATACTGTCGGCCTTAGTAAATTAAATATTGAGTTTTAATGCAGGAGCGATCTAGTCTAAGTAACGGCATCCAACATGCTATAACACATTTAAAAACAAAATGTATAGTGCTATAAGATGTAGTGTTATACTAAAACTTAAGTTGTAGCAACAACAACATATACTCGGTCAAATCACACGATTGGAATATATATATATATATATATATATATATATATATATATATANTATATATATATATATATATATATATATATATATATACATACATGGTCAAACATTTATAGAGTATTGTTATATATATTGTGTGTGTATGTATGTATAATTTAGGATGTTAAATATATGTAGATTACAGATAACAATACTCTATAAATGTTTGACCATGTTTGACCACTAATACCGACCGATATCGGTCAGAAACTTAATCAAATTTCTTTGAAAAATATACTTACTAGTCATGAAAAAATAAAAAAGAACATGGGCGGGAAAAAACTAATTAAGTATTCTGACCGATATCGGTTGGAAATGAGGAGCTTATTTTATTTTGATATTTTTTTCGTGCATAATAAGCAAGTCTGACCAGCTTTTGGTCAAATATTGATCATATTCCGACCGAAATCGATCGAAAATGTGAAATGTGTCAGGTAGTACAATATTTCGATATTACGGGCCTACATTTACCCACCGATGGTGATCGGTATATTTAATTAAAATTGGTTATATGACTTTTGCGATCAATTTACACCTTTTCCAACCGATTTCGGTCGGTTTTCCCCCAACCGATGTTGGTCGGTATGCTTTGGACGGGAATAGGCAGTTTCTAGTAGCATGGACGGAGACAAGGAGACTTCACATTCAACCTCAATTTTTCGTAAATAGGCGCCGGGGAAAACAAGCATATTCTTTTCATTAGAAGACTTAGTAGATCACGTCTGGTGAATATTATATTATAACGTAGAAACTACAGTGTAGCCTTTTGCATTTGAAGACTGAGAAAATGAGAGGAATACATAAGCCCCAACTAGAAGCTACAATAATATTGATGGGAGTCAAAAGAATGAATATTCCAATATCAGCAATTCAAACTTTGACAAAGACCAGACTCCTGAAGCTGTAAACCTTGAACCTGCAGGGGTCAAAGTTACACAAAATTCACAATTTTCATCTTAGATATAATGAAGGAAACAGAGATTGCGATCTCATATAATATATACGTACCATAGGTGGATGATGAGGTCGATTTTTGGAAGGTGGCAATGGCAATAGTGTGCTGGCCTTTCTATTTCTACCAATTAAAAGCCTCTTCGAAACAGGGGACATCATTTGATCAGTTGGACTTGTGTACCTGCAGAAACCCAGTTTTGGTTATTCATCAAACAGTTTTCATACGTCGTATCAGAGGCAAATTCAAGATTTAAATTTGATGGATTTACCTTTACATTCTTACTTCTGGACCTATTTTGAACGAATGTTTTCGAAATTTAATATTTATTGAAGTTCTAATAAAATTATCTCTCTTTTGATTCCACAATCTGTAGAGACTTTTATTTGTTACAGAAGAGAAGAGAAGTTATACCTTTCAGGGTATTTGAATGGCTTAGGGAGCTTAAGGCGATCAGGGGTATTCTCACTTTTGATTGGAGAATTTTGAAGAACAATTGTTGGTCGAATTAGTAGCGGCGGTGTTTCTGGTTCTACCGCAACAGTAGCTTCTCCACTAATGGGAGATTTTGATTGAACTGTTTCCTGTAGGGATTCATTAATGGGAGTTTCTGGTACAACTGAAGTCTGCTTTCCCTCCATTGATGAACTATTGTACAAGCAGCAGAGAGATTTTAGGTTAGATTTAATTGAAAAGTGGATTTGGAAAGAGGAGAGAGCGATTGAATTAAGAAAGTAGTGGAGTGAATTTTATATACAGAAAGACGACCGTTCAGCATAAGGATTTCAACGGTCGAATTCTTTGGGGCTGTATTAAGTGGACGACAAACCAATTTTGCTTTTTTCTAATCCAGTAAAAAGAGGCCAACTAAGACAATTCCAGAATGTCTTTAAGCCCAACGACAAAACTGGTTCTTTTTTTTTTTTTGGGAAAATTTTATGTGGCCCTTCTTATTCTTATTTCCACTTGGGCACTCAAGGGTAATAGTGAGTGCAAACCTCAAATATAATGTTTTAAATCTTAAATAGTTTTTTTTTTTTTTTCCCTTTTGCTTTGATGGGTAGAATTATACTGTGCTGATAAGAGGTAGCAAATATTCAGTGAAATAAATTTACCGGACACTGCTGTTATTTAAAATATCCTAATTTCCACTTGTACCATTCTTGGTAAGGCCAATAGTGTCAATTTTCTTTTCTTTTACTTGTGTGAATGGAAATTGAATTTAAAAGAAAATATATATAATAAGAAAAAGAACAGATAACCTTTTTATAGCATACCATAGTTTGAATGGCAACGCAATTGGTATTGCTCACTTTTAGAAGTGAAGTTTTATCTGTTTTTTCCTTTTAACAAGTCAATGCTTAATGGGCATTGCATAATGTGCAGCATTAATCTGTTGGACCACAGGACAGTAAGGTCTTAGTCTTACAAAACAACACAGTTGTTTGAGAAAAAAATAAAAAATTATAATTCTTGTTTTCCATCCGGTAGCAAAGCGAAAAAATTTCAGTGAAGGTGTTCAATATTAAAATATATTATAAGATGTAACTTTTGACCTATATCATAATACAATTTTCTATTTAATTATACGGTACAATTTCCAAATTAAGGGAATTCAACTGACAACCCTTCACTCTATGTGACTTTGCTACTGTTTCCATCCCAATACAGGTATATAGTATCCCATGCTCGGGGTCCATGTTAAAACATGACAATTTACAAAATTTTATCTTTTTGACCCAAGAGTTTATCCTTTTGCTGATTTTTTTCTCTTTTTTTTTCCAACGAAGAAACACTAATTTAAAATATGTTTAATAGCATAAAAATATGCTCAGTCGGTCATAATCTGCTATTTGCTAAGTTATTTCATTAAAGTTTCAAGAGAATATCTTTTAGAACTTCAGTCCTAACACTTTCCTCCAAAACAGAGAACAATTATCAATTACCAGACACTAACACAAAGCAATAAACAAAAGGAAAACAAACTATATTTGGGCTAAACATCATGCTTTTCTTCATCAAAATTATAGAATATTTTATTCATACATCAACAAAACATAGAATATACCAATTTCATCTTAATGTCGTCTTGGATTGTATCTTTTGTTTGACCAAAAATCATAGATCTTGGTTCAGCCAATTAGATTTAAATAAAAAAGAGTTAATCTTAGTTAAAAATAATATTCTAAAGATAAAGCTACCGCTATCGAGACAAATAACTAGTATATTTGTCCGGATGACAACGAATATAAGCAATAATAACAATATTCAATGATCCAAAAAGATAGAATATGGCATTAAATAGTAATAATAGCATTTAAGTAAATAAAACGTGTGAGTCACGCGAAAAGGGATGAGATCAGTGCATATTCTCTCTGACAATGATAAACGATTAAAAAGCCTTTGAATATTTAGGTTGTTCTTGGATCCGGTGTAAATGCTAGACAAGAATCTTAGTAAAAATATTGTTTTTGTGTGCTTGAAATAGGACCAAATTCTCTCTAAAAAGTCAATGTATTTTTTTACAAATGAATATCTCATGTCCCCTATCATCATGTTTTTTTTCTATTTATTGGGAACATGTTCCTAGAAACCCTAATAGTATAGGTGCAGAGAATATTCACTAGAATATTCTCCTTTGTGTCCTATCTTAAAACTAGATGTCATAACTTTGTCTGGGAAGCTCGACCTCGGCCTTGAGCTACAATGACTTCACGACCTTGATCTTTGCTAACTCCTCGACTGCACCCTTCATTGCTTCGAGGCTACTCCGACCTGTGACAGATCTTTGTGGAGACCTTACTGATAGCACGTGGTAGCCGACGAAGGCTATCATGGTCCTGACGTGGCTCGCTTATATCAAAGATATTTTTTAGCCCATACAGTTAGTCACTCCGCTTATCAAGAAAATCCTCGCGGGCGAGGTCGATGAGTGGATACTGCAGTTTGTGGTCGAGCTTACCGAGCTCGCTATGCAGGTCGTGGTCGTCGTAACGATCAGGCAACGTGGCTCTTAAAGGGCCACACATTTTGAATTTTTTGAATTTTTCGGGGAGTCTATTGGAGCCATCCAATCCAAGAGAAAAAGGTACGTCATAACGTCATGCGTCATGATGAAGTCGTTTCCCGACGCGTTGCGTCGATTCACGCGTGACCCTTGATTGGTTCTGTTGTTTCGATCTTCGTGCTAATCATGGTATGCCATTTCGATTCTGGTGCCCCCAAGTCATATAAATAGGGGGTGTTGATTTTGAAACTTTTCCACACTCTTTCTCTTTCATAAGTATAGCTTCTTCTTCGCAAAACCCTTTTTTCTCTTTGTTGTTTTCTTTGCTCCTCTATCTCCTTCTGTAACAATGTCAGACCTCCCATCACATATCCACATGGAAGATCACTCCATCCCTCTACATTTTGTTTTTCCTGACCTGGGGGGAGGACGACGAAGCTGCCGTTGAAGAGGAAATCCTACCTACCGTAGAGGAAATCGTACCTCGATATCCTGATGCTAAACCCGACTTCCAAAAGACGCCGGAAGTAGTGACGGAGAGGTTTAAATCTACGAAGATGGTTGAGCAGTTAACTGAAATCAAGGCTAAACTCGACCTACCTGTTCACATAGACTTGGTCCCTGCGGGCGACGACGAGGTGCGGGTTCATCGTCCCGGCTTCTGCGCCCTTTACACATATCCGTTCTTAATTGGTTATTCATTCCCTTTGTTGCCGTTGATAGAAGAGTTATTCCGCTACTACACCGTATGCCCGGCGCAGCTTGCTCCTTATATCTTTAAAGTGATAATGAAGTTGACAAAATTCGCTGAATTGGCCGACGTTGACATAACAACACGCCACCTGATCCATCTCTTCGCCCCTCATTTCTATCGAAGGACTTTGTTGAATCTTCGCCATCGAGGGGGGAAATGTTTGGTGGTGAGGATGTATGACAAGGATAGTCGCCATTTCTAGCTTGACTATTTCTTTGTCAGGACCGAGGATGCAGTGTCCACCGCCGCAGGCTTCCCTGAGGCTTGGAACCCTACTCGTAAGTTCTTGTATCTGTTTATATACCTTTTTGTTTCCAATGTTTTCCTTAGTGTGGGTCGGTTTATCGGCTTTCCCCTTTTTGTAGTTGTTACATCCCGCCTTTGTACATTGGGTTTATCGTAACAGAATCGGCATAAGTTCAAGAACAAAACTATTTTTGAGGTTATAAGTATTCATGTTATTTCAAACAAGTGATAAGCAAGTGTCGTGAAGGCCAGAGGGTAAACAAATCAAAGGAAGCGAGTTTCGTTGATGTTTGATATTTTGGGATAAAATACGATCCAAGTTACAATACCCCGTATTTGCTATACCACATGATCATGATAGTATGGTATATGAAGTATGTTAAAGGTGATTAGTATGTAAGTGAAACACGATCTAGAAAGGCATTATGTGTGACTAATTAAATTGGATATTATAGTAGGAAGAGGAGAAATAAGTCAAGACTGTTGAATAAGTATTATGTAGGCATGATTTACATGGGTTAGGAATAGATGGCAGCCAAGGATTGGAGGCATGAATGCATAAGGTGGAGGGGACACCTATTTTATCTATAAAGGTTACATGTGTATTAAAAAGGTGTGTTGACATCCTATTAAAAAGGATAACCTATGATTGACACATGTATAGATAAAGTTACTACTTAATAAGTTTGGATGACTATTATTCCACATGGACCATATCTATGAATGAGCAGAAAGTGACACTTATACACATGAGGTGTAAATTTTGGTGATGTGTAATTAGGTGTGCACCTAGAGGATTACATGTGTAGAATTAAAAGGGGGTCTCTAATGCTAGAAGTGTAATATTCCGTACTTTAGTGTTAGGACGAGCCATAGTAATACATATGAGTTGGCAAGGATTAAGGTCCTACATGAAGTTATAGATATAAGACCCTGTAAATATGATAAATTTCAAAAACGTTATATATTGCCTTGATATGGTACTTTCTTTTAAGTGAAACATTCTTTTTGTAAATGTTGGATAAATGTGATTTTGACTGGGCACGGAATTTAAGAAAAAATAAAGATTTTTGGAATTTGTGGTCCTAAACAAGTCAAAAAGGGGTCCAGAGTATTTGTGTGGTTGTAAAAGCTTATCATTAAGGGTAGAATTGAAAGTTTAAGCTAAATTGTTTCCAAATTTAGAAAGGGGTCATTCTTTTTGGAACGGACCAAATAGGAAATAGGTTCACATTAATTGCAACGGAGGGAATATTATTTTTGGATAAGTTTTTAGCTAAACACATTATATGAGTAAGTTTATAAATGGAATTTTTTCCATTATAAGGATAGAAATTATTTTCTCATAAGAAAGTTATCTTTTTACCATTTTAAGAATTAATAGTACAAAAAGTTAAACTCTTGTTATTAAAGTGGAAAAACTAGAATCTATTTGTTTTTATCAATAATTTCATCTTTAAGAAATATAGCTATATGTCTTAATTTTATAAAATACCTATGATTTACTATTAATAGCTAAAACCTTTAAAAATTGACAATTAAGTAAATAGCTTTTTATATACACTTAGTAAAATATAGAGATAAGTATGGGGTAGGTATGTTTTGTATTAGTAGGCAATATTTGTCACAAATATAGGACTCTCACCGCCAACACATGGCCAGGTGGAAGCCAAGCATTAAATTGTCCATTTGCTTTCATTTTGGTAAAAGCTACTTATAATATAGATACCGTTACGAAACTTAGCTCAAAGTAACAATATAGAACAATAA